GCGTTGCATTCGATTCTGGCCGACCAAACATGTGACATCTGGGACCGTATGTTGGCCGGGATGGTGTTGGCAACAGTCTACACCAGAAGTCGCTGGTCAGACCTTCAGCAGGCGGAGAGTGTGTTACATGATCGTGACGATTATGGCGAACTGGCATTTCTTGAATTTCATATCAATGAACACAAGTGCAAGTGGTCAAGCGCATTCAGAAACTCTTTTCTGCCGGCCATTTGCCCTGCTTACGGAATTGCAGATCACAATTGGGCGGCAGTTTGGGTTGAAGTGCGTGAGCAACTAGGGATCTGTTTTGACGACAACTTCCCAACCATGCCGGCTCCGAACGCAGACAACAGTCCGAGTCGACGGCCGTTGACGACAGATGAGATGAAGAGCTGGACCCGTATGTTGTTGGCTCGGTGTGAGATCGACCTGACCGACCGGAGGATCACTTCCCACAGCTGCAAGTGCACATTGTTGAGTTGGCTGTCCAAACATGGTGACCTTTGGGAGGATAGGCAAGTGCTTGGTGGGCACGTGTCCTTTATCAAGTCGACTATCACTTACAGTCGTGAAGCCATGGCCAGACCTTTGCGAGTCCTGGAGGCGCTGCTCAACGATGTGCGTGTTGGCCGTTTCCGCCCAGATGAGACCAGGAGCGGAAGATTCAGGGACGTGGTTCTGGAGGGTTGCCACATGGACGAATCCTTCCCGCCAGCACCTTTGTCACTCTTTGATGAATGGGTCGAAGCCAGTGAGCCTGGTAACAAACCACGAGAAGTTGAGGTGACCAACCAGAACCGAGAGTCTACCGAAATCATTGAGGTCGACCCTGACAGCCCGAAGAGGGAAGAGGAGGACAATGCATCATCAGAGGCGCCGGATACATCCACAAGCTCAGATGAGAGTGCCGCTGTCCTCAGTGGGGCCAGGAGACCGCTGCGTGTTCCTACCGTACCGGACTCTTTGAAGCTTGTGCAGCATACGAAGCTTCGAACTTTGCATTGCATGGAGAAGGAGCACCAGCTCATCTTGTTGTGTGGTCGCAAAGCAGTGCCAGAAAGATACGGCGTGGTGGAGGAGGTGAGGTTTGACACTCCACTATGTCACCCATGCTGGAAAAAGAAAGTAGAGTATGAAGTGTAGCCGTTTTTGGTGATCTAGGGCACTAACATGTGCCGAGCCAATCATGGGCCATGAAGGGCAGGGTTCCATTGTTGGAAACCCAGCCGGTGTCTCGAGCGAGAGAAAAGAAAATTCTAAGATTTCTTGTTCTGTTTGAGTCACCTTGGAATGCCGCAAAAAGGGTCTTAAATTTAACACCCTTTTCGTTGAAATTTTACTTGTTTGGAGTATGTTTTGTCTTGGATCCAGGACCTTGGAAACGGCCAGGGTTCAGTGCGGATCAGCTCAAAGCATTGAGAAACACCAACGGTAGTTGGAACATGGCTAGAAAGCAGCACACAAAATCGGATTCACGGGAATACCAAACATAGTATGGAAGCATGCCATACAACAGGTAGATAGCCTGCTTCAGGTTGCTTAGCATCGCCATGGCCCTAGTCGACTCAGAAGCTGCGTTTGAGAAACGCTGCAAAGAGCTGGATCCGAATTTATATGATACAATGAGTAATGCTGGCATTGTCACTTTCGCTTCACTTGCATACGCTGTTGGAGCCCCTCAGACAGCCCCAACAGATGAGGCTATGCAGCGATTCGCAGATAGGATTTTCCTAGTAGCTGCCACTCTTGCACAGGTTTCGAAGGTGAAGCGTTTGCATTTTGAAGCCGTAACTTTAGTTGTTGCCGATCTCAAGAGGCAGGTAACAGCAGGTGATGTGACAGAGCCTGGCAAGACATTGCCCTTCATCGAGAAGCAGAGGAGGTTGAGAGCTCAGCAAACACGCATCACTGGAATCAGTCATAGACACGAGCAGCAGGCCTCTCATGCTTTGATTGATGCAGCTTTCAACATTCTTGAGACCGGTGCAGTTGTTTACCTGCCACCTTCGAAGTGTGGCTCGCGAGATGCTGAAATCCAGTCAGAAGCAAAGAACAAGCAGAAGCAGCTATTGACTTTGGAGCAAGGAACTATCAAGGCCACAGCCTCAGATGCCCTGGTCTCTGTGGACATTGGGACGGAGATGAAATTGATGTACGCCCTTCAGCGCCGGGGACTTGCGTTTGACTTAGTCAATCTTGTGTCTTGGCCAGTGCATATGGAATGGGTCAACAAACTCTTTAGAGCACTCATGTCTGAAGCAGTCCCAGGGTTTAATAGCATCACCTTGCAGCAGTTGCTTCGTGCTGATCAGGAGCTATTCCTAACCATAGCAGCCGAATTTGATGGTTCGCTCAAGGGGGCAAACGTTGGTGATCCGCCACCTCTCGATGCAGTCATTCAAAGGTTGATGAACGACCCTCGCATCAATATTCATTTAACCCCAACTGCTAGAGGTGAGAAACGTAGCATTCAGCAAGAAGGTGACAAGGTGTCCAACCCGCCCGCGAAGAAGCAGAAGCAGCCCAAGCCGGGTGCCCAGCGTTCGCCTAGCCAGTTACCATCCGAACTGATCGGACTGCGCTTGAAGACGAAAGATGGAAAACCAATTTGTTGGAAGAGAAACCTCAAACAAGGGTGCAGTAATGAAGTCAAGAAGGGCCGCTGTAGGTTCGGTTTTCATGTATGCATGCGTTGCTTGAAGACGGGCCACGGGGCTGCAAACTGTCAAGAATCATCTTGACCATCTCGCCATGAGCCCTGCAACGATGAAACAGAACGGAATGAAGCAGGGCAGTTGTTTTCACCCACTTTTTGCTCATCACAAGGGCCGGCTTCTGCGAGACAGGACAATGGACTGGCTGTGCAGGAGCTCATTGAGCCGGCTATGCATGACTTGTACAACGATTCAGCCCGAACCGATTGCTTGTTCGTGGAAGTTTTTTCAGGAAGTTGTCGACTCTCGAAAGCTTGCCATTCGCTTGACTTCAGGTGCACTGCGATTGACAAGGACCCAGGCCGTTCAGAAAACTTTCCGGTGTACATTTGTGACATTACCAATGAAGAACAGTTCTTGAATTTGCGCACTTATCTGGAAAAAGAGAGAAGTGCCATCTTGCACGCACACTTTGCTCCAAGCTGTGGTACTGCTTCGCGTGCAAGAGAACGGCCAATTCCAGGTTTCAAAACCGCTCCAAAGCCTTTGAGGAGTGATGCTCATCCAGATGGCCTACCCAACTTGTCGGAGTCGGAGCATCAAAGGGTGTCAGAGGCTAACAGAAGTTATGCAGCGATGTCGCAGCTTATTTTTGTTTTGGTGGAATTGGGAGTCAGCATCAGCATTGAAAACCCTCGCAACTCTTTGCTGTGGAAGACTTCCTTCTTAAAGCATTTGTTGGGTAAGTTGCCAACCTACCATGTTTGCACTTTTCACCATTGCATGCACGGGGGAAAGCGTGATAAAGACACTGCTTGGTATAGCTTCAACCCGCGTGATCCGCAGAGGGATTTGTTCGCGAGCTTGGCACTGAAGTGTAACAAACAACACCAACACGCGCCCTGGAAACCCTATGTGGATGCCTCAGGGAAACGAATTTTCCCAACAGCAGATGAAACCGCTTATCCGCACTTGCTGTGTGAGCGCGTTGCATACATCTTGAGGACAGAGGCCAAAAAGGCGGGCTTCATTTTTCCCACTGACTTGCACCAACAGTTGGACCACACCAATGTCAGTGCAAAACGCCAGCTGTTTACAACACAACCTAGAGGTCGTCGTCTCAGGCCGTTGGTCTCTGAGTTCTCGGGTTATGTAACGGTGGTAACCTTGCCTGATAGGTCCGAATTTTTGGAGCAAACTCTTCGTACACTCCCCAAGGGAGCTCGCATTTGTCATCGGGTTCTTCAGCAGTGGGGGTGGAATCGGGATGACATGGCACAGAAATCACGCACTGTTGTCGTTGACGAGAGGTGTGGCACGGATGGGCAATGTGAAGTAGTGAACATTGGCATCCCTAGGGAACCCAGTGAGTTTATACAAGAAGCCTTGAACAAGGGTCACCCTAGAGACATCATTGCAAACATACGGGACGCCGAGCGGGACCTGCTTTTGAATTTGGTGCATCAACCTTGCTCTGTTCGTTTCCAAAAGCGTGCAGCCTTCATGAAGAAATGGCTTAAGAGATCCTTGGAGCTGAAAGAGAGCGAGCAGAAGTTGCATGATTCCCTTGCGCCACACTTGGTCCCCATCCTAATGGGTAAACGGCTCTTGTTGTGGAAGGAGATCTTGATTGACCTTGCATACTCTGACGTAGCCGTTATCGATGATGTGGTAAAAGGGTTCGCATTGACAGGTTGGGCGCCGCAAACTGGCGTGTTCCACAAGCATGTTCGAAAGCCCAGTTTGACAACCCAGGAACTGCGGAAAAGAGCAGCCGGTTTGAATGCGGCGGTCACGGGCTCGTTGGAAAACAGCACTGAAGGTCCGCATGATCAGTATGCTTGGGACGAAACCATGGAAGAGGTTCAGAAGGGGTGGCTCGGTGTTAGCGATGGGTCGAGTGAATGTGTCATTGCCAAGCGTTTTCCTCTGGTGCAAGGAAGCAAAGTGCGATTGATCGACGATTTCTCGATCTGTGGAGCCAATTCTGCCTACGGTATGACAGAGAAGCTTCGAGTTCAAAGCATAGATGAACTCACAGCTTACCTCGCCTACATCCTTGACTCTACCGAAGGTGCTGCATGCCCTGCTCTGGTAGGACGCACGTTTGATCTTAAACATGCTTACAAACAGTTTGGTGTGGATGAGTGGCACAGCAAGTTTTTGAACATCGCAGTGCGGAAACCCGGCGGCTCGTATGGCCTGTTCAAAGTCTACGCACTGCCGTTCGGAGCTTCAGGAAGCGTCACCAGTTTCCTCAGAGTTGCTTGCAGCATCGCATACATTGGCACATATGGTTTGGACATCACCTGGACTAGTTTCTTTGATGACTTTACTGTACTGTGTACACAGGAGGAGGCTGATAACGTCGGATGGTACGTTGAGTCATTGTTCAAATTGCTTGGAGTCGAATACGCCGCCACAGGCGACAAAGCTCCACCCTTCCAAAGTGCTTTCAAGTCCTTGGGTTTGATAATAGATGTCTCAACGGTCAATTCAGGCACCTTTTCGATACAGCATACCTCGAAGAGGCGTGACGAGTTGCTCAATAGCTTACGCTCCATTCTGAAGGCAGCAACCGCTGCTCCAAAAGAGCTCGAACGATTGCATGGGAGACTAGTCTGGTTCAGCTCCTTCATCTTTGGTAGGTTGATGAATGGCTTTGTGCGGACTTTATCTGAATTTTCTCGGGTTCGCACTAGCAGGGTCTTGGTCCAGGGTTCGCTGGCTGAAGCCTTGCAGGGTCTTGAGAAATTGGTGGAGCAGTCCCAACCTGTGAGGGTGAGTCGAGCTTTGTGTTGGACTTGGCTAGTATTCACCGATGGAGCGTATGAGAAATCTGACCAGGGTTTCGGTAGTGTGGGAGGCGTTCTTGTCAGCCCGCAGGGGACTTTGATTGAGATTTTTGGAGAAAGAGTCAATGCCGAGTTCTTGGAGATCTTGCTGGGCACATCAAAGCATCCCATATATGAGTTGGAAATCCTGCCAGTCCTGATGGCAGCTTCGCTCTGGGCTACCTACATCGCTGGTGGCCAAGTTGTTTTTTATATTGACAACGAAGCTGCTCGCAGTGCTTTCATACAGGGTGTTGGAGCAACTGTGCACACCAAATCCATGGTGCAGAACTTTGTCCGATTGGAAGAAAGAATCAAGATATACAGCTGGTTTGGCAGAGTTCCTTCACATAGTAACATAGCAGATCAGCCTTCTCGTTTGCAATTCACCAATCCCTTGTTCGACACCGCCAAGCGAATTAGAGTCGTAGATTTCGCACACTTCTTGGAAGCGGGGTGTGATCGGGTGTGCTCAGAGAACC